CTTAAGCCACTTTTCCTCCTGCTGAGCATGAAAGCTGGATGGGATATTTGTTACAGTTTGGATGAAAGTTATAAGAAGAAGACACGCTTTAAAAATCATGCATTATGCATTCCCCAAAGGGCAAATTATGACAGATGTTTGCAGAACAGCTTTGTCCACATGAAAAGAGAAATTTTTTGTGGGTTGTAGCTGAGATTTCTGGCATACTGAAGAAAATATTAGGTAAATGAAATATAATATGATCTCTGGAAAACTAATTCAATCCCTGCAAAATGGCATAGGCATCTTAGATCCTTTGCCCTGCGTGTTCTTAGATATGGACATGTCTTTTACAGGCATATTTACTAACATAGATACATATAACTATGGAAAAAAAAAATTCAGGATAGACATAGCATTTTGGGTTTTGCTGCTGAATTACAGGAGGGCATTATTTTCTCTTGCAAAAGATGTTTTTCTAAAGGGGATAAATAAGGAGGCACTGAAGCACCACACTTTCACAAGCTGTTATCGTGGTTGCCACGTTGATATTGAGGGATGAGCTACGATCTTTGTTCCAAAAGCTCATACGAAGTCCCACTTGATGTTTGTCGACTGTGCTTTTGATTTAAATTGTAAATGACAGATTTAAAAAAAAAAATCCACCTGACAAGGCTGATTTCTGCAAGGCTTGATCTGAAGATTTTCTGTGCCAGTTTAGGAAAAAGACTGGAAAAAGGGCGAGTTATCAAAAATATTCTAACCAATCCATAAAGTCCAATATGGCTGTTACATTAATTAGTTAAGCATCAATATTCCATGGAAATTATGCCACAGAATATATGTGAGATGATCTATAGTGTAATGGTTTACAGATTTGCCTAAAACAATCAAAAGATGCCAAGTTTGATACAGGGAGGAGAAATAAATCCCTCTGGAGTTGAGTCAAGAAGGGCATTAAAATAGCTTTGTTCTACAAAAAAAAAAGATTGTATACATCTGGGATATTGTCCTCCCACTGTAGACTGCATTCGACTAAGGATCTGGCGTCTATATGTAGGAAGACTCAGAAGTGTTGGTATTTAATTTTGGACAAAGCGTTTGAAGGCTACAGGATTCAAGAATGGCTGGCAAGATATGAGGTGCTAAAATGTAACTTCATTAATGAAGTGAAATTTTTTGCTGTGAGCACCAAAGTAAATTAAAAGACTGATATAGCCTATATATCAGCTATTTCTAGGTTGATATGAAGGCTTCTAACCCTCCTTAAGTTCATTATCTGTAATTAATCTGTAATTTGTAGTTCTTTATAAGTGTCATATGAATGTAAACTGCATTTTCACAAAAAATGTGCTTTACAAACATATAACGGATTGAAAACAGAGTGAGCAGTAGTGGCTTGCTATGCATACAGTTAGGGTAAACACACAGCATTATTTTTGCTTTCTCAAAATAGGGTCCAGTTTTTTTAGGCCTGCGGCTCTTAAATAAATGCAACCCATAGATACCTGAGTAATTTTAGAGTGTCAGCTTCTTTGTTCACAGAGTGTTTAAGATATCTGACCGGTCCCTTTGTATTCTGTT